AATGGGATGAGGGTAAGGGTGAGTGACAGATAGAAGAGGCGGCAATGACTCAACGGCAGTGCTCTCCCTTCATCATTTTGATTGTGCCCTCCATTACCTAAATAGGCTTCTGCGCACGAACCTTATAGCTTCCTGGCTTTGAAGCCGTGGACAACGTTTTAGGGAAGAAATGGTACGAATCAATAACACACGTCCCGGTAAATGGATAAACGGTTTTGCGAAACCATGTCGAAATTGTGGAACCGCGCTTATCATACAGCCCCGCGTAAAGAGATCATACGCACAAAGAGTGCAGAAACTACCAAAGTAATCAACACAATGTGTGCGTAATACGATAGTTCGAGATTACCGCAGCGATAGTGGTTCACTGCCAGACATACTGCGTGACTGATAACTGCATAACCATTTTTGTGTGCAAATATATTAAGGAGGCATCAAGACGTTTTGCCCCCATTACTAAAGAGCCAGGTTTGGTTACCATATGTCATTCTTAAAGAAGTTCAGTGAGCTTTGCTGACAATGTGCGCTAAAAATATATACCATATAATTCTTTGTCATGTGCCACCTCGCGTTACCTCTTTCCATGTGTATGAAAGTGTTTGGAGTGATCGTGTGCAGGCGGTATTTATCACTCAGGATGAGGCGCACCCATGTTTGACGCAACAAAAACTCGACCGACGGCCATCAAAACACCGTGCTTTGCACCATCATTGAGCGCTGCAGACACCGAGCTGGTTCATTAAGACATGCAGTTAAAGCGAGAACCTTTACCCCGCATTGTAACATACTTTTACTGACACGCGGCTACCCATTACTATCCCTGGTGGCGTAATGAAGAGCCAGCTGCCATGTGAACCGGATACCAGTGTTTTAATTAATGAACGCTTTCTTTGTGACTTGCTGCCTCTTTACGAAAACCGTAATATATCGTTGCAGTTTATGGGGACTTGGTACGAAGTTCTGAGGACGCCGTTCATCATCGAGTACATGGTGAAGTGCGTGAGATTCCACTGCTTGGACAAAGGCGAAGAAAACAGCGTAGGCCTTAAGGTCCTTGGTGAACGGTCCCCGTAAGTTATTTTCACACTTGACGGCCGCTGTCAGAGCACATAGAAGGGTAATGCTGAAGCCGCCAAATTCACTAATGTGCCGTGTGTTTCTCGTTACAGTGTTGCCGCTGTGTTTACGACCGGTGATAGGTAAGAAACGAACAAGACAAGTCAGTAAAATATACCTTTTTTTTCCTTGGTGAAAAAATCAGCGCACGCTTCAGAGATATATGCCGAAATAAGTGGGCCACGAAAATGAATCGCAATGAGACCTCGTGTACATTTGCGCGACAGACAGCCCAAGAAGTTGCTTTAAGAAAAACGCTAGCACATAAGAATGTAGGCGCAAAAAAAAAAAAAACACTAGTTATATTGTTCAAAGTTTATAAGCTCATGTAATATTCTTTATCATGAGAATATTTAATGAGAGCTAATAGAATAGCATGAGCTATAGATGCAATAAAATTAGCGTGACAACTACGGTACTCATTTCACAATTAACGAACTTTCGAATTTATGCGATACAACTCCCACTAGCGTATACAATATCACTGAAGATAGTGAAATGTCCGTTAGAATGTTTAAACAAATAAATGCTCCATGCTAAGAAGTTGCCCTTGGTTTTCTTTTATAAAATATTGCCCGAAAGACACACCATAGTTGTGATGAAACATAATGCGAAAGGAAAACAGAATCACCACGTTGGAAAGGGTTGAAACAAATGCAGTTTGGGTCCCGGAAGTATTTTGGTTGGGATGCTGTCCCGATAAGATGTTCTAAGACGTACTTTTGATTGTCTTATGTATTGTGACAAAAGAAACGGTACTTCGATGTATTAATTAAACTAACTCCTTAATCTCGTAGAGGAGACAGCCTCTCTATCGATGGAGAAATTCTTACAAGAGACGCCAACAGTCCTTATGGAATCAGACTGAAAGGAGGTAAGTACGCTTGGCAATCCGTGCTGTGGCGTAACTACGGTATCATTCGTTTGTCTTATTGTGTGTGTTCATGTATAGGTCGTACTTCGGCGGAAAGATGTTCTCGACGGAAGCGTATACTTAACAGATGATAAACCCCGAGGCTGACTTCGTTCAATCTTCAACCGGTTAACTTACATTTACTCATGCATAAATGTGCCAAACATGCCCTCTATTCCTGTTTTCGGCTTCATTCCCTGAATAAAGGAACAACAGTAAATTATTAAAGAAGCATATAACGCTACACATGAAAGTGCCAGTATAGAGTGGGTTATCATTTTTCCGTTCGTTCTTGCTTTGCCTCTTTTTTTTTTATGCAACATGGCTGGTTCTAAGATTTTGTAGATGCATTATATATTTAGGTTGATACTTAAGAATCTCTAGCATTTTTGCTGTGCTTTCTTTTCATTACGCAGCCTCCTTCCACTACGCTTCTCCCATGATAGTGTTGGACACAGACTACGACAACTACGCTGTGCTGTGGGCTTGCGAGAACAACATCATCAGCGGCATTGTTCGCCGAGGCACGTTAGCTCTCTTTCATATAATGTCCTATACAAGCTCACTGTTTTAAGGCGCAGGCATGGGGCAAAAGGTTGCTGACTTTCAGTCGCAAAACTTCAACACAAATCTATATCCTATTGAGCTATGCCATGAAGGCAGCTGTTGCAATCGTGATGGGGGTGCTGACGCCTCGTTAATAATAATTATTGATGGGATTTACCGTCTGAAAACGACGATATGATTATGAGAGACGCCGTAGTGGAGAATTCTGGAAATTTTGACCATCTCGCGTTTTTTTAGCTTGCAACTAATTCTAAGTACACGGGCCTACGTCATTTCCGCTTCCATAGGAAATGCAGCCGCCGAAGCCGAGATTCGATCCCGCGACCTGCCGGTCAGCAGCCGAGTACCTTAGCCACTAGGCCACCGTAGCGGCTTCGATTCCTGATTCGACAGCTGTATATATCTTTGCAACTCCTTTAACAGAAAGGTTAACACAATACCAGTTAGTTAAAAACCAAAGAACTTGATGGATGCAACACCTCTTAAATACTATAGCTTTATCAAGTTTCCAATTCAATTCAATATAAGCCTAATCCGATTCAATATAAACCTCATGTGTTGTGTGTCACTACAAAGTTTCTGTGTTGTGTGTTAGCGTCGTGTGACACTCGCCTTTCCGCCACCATAAATTCCGCTGCCCCTGCTAGCGATGTTCAGTTGCCACAAGTTGAGCACTTTAACTATTACTCGGCTTCTTTGTACCTTTAGGGCAGAACAAATCTCCCTTATCGTTGGCTGGGCACCACCAGGCATACCTTCTTCAATCTAAGTGTATCGGAACGCGCGACTTGGCTGCATAATTTAACACTGACAATAAATACTTCGGGGATCTTGTAAGCCACGTTCATGATAGAAATCAGCTCATTCACGCGGACAAGCCTGGCGTACGTGTTACTTATCAAATATACCACACCGCAGGCGGTTATTAACCGCTTGGTCTACAATGAGATCTAGCCTTCAAGGGTGCCAATATGGCTTCAAGAAAATGTTTCGCAACGAGAGATCATCCTGTCATGGCATACCACCTTTATGTGAATGATCTATAAATATCAAATATGGTCTGCTTGTTGCCAGCGACATTTACCTATATATGTGGTCTTACATTTTCAGAAAATATATGGGTTCTCTCAAGGTCACCGACGTTAAATGCCACGATGCAAAACTTCATCATGGACCACTTGAAGAAACAGACGTACAGCACATACTTCCTCATGCCAACGGAACAGAAAACATGCAAGGGTCATCCAGTACGGGAATATTCAGCTGCAAATGGTTCAAATGAAGAATAAAATATGGTTTCAATGAAGCCTAAATACGGATGTCTTTGTTAAGCTATGTTCACACTACGGTCGTAAGGCGTCGATGTTTCATAACACGCGTAAGCGGAAGCACAACAAGCGTATGCGTCTAGTTCAGACTGTGAACGTAAAGGTACCAACGTTCGCAACGAACGCATAAATCGTGGGTGAGAGTGTTAAAGGCTAGGCAACTTTTACGACTGCGATACTACGACCGTTACGACACAGCCAATGACCGATCAGCTTTCGGTTTTCAACAACCGGTCACGAGACCTGACAGGACTTCCGTCCTCCCGGCTGCAGCAGCATCGCGGAGGCGATGGCGGTAGCTGCCGGCGCGGGAAGTGCTACTTCGCCATTCCGCGGTGACGATTGGGTTGGCTTCGTTTGCTCGCAACGTGCGTAAAAAGTTGTTCCGTGCTGAGTGGTCTCACTAAGTGCTCAAGGAAGTCGAACTGCTGGGGCGACATGCGCATGAAATTATGAAACATCGCAGCGTCTCCAAGTCGGAGCTTGACGAGAAGGTTGTGAAAGTCGCCATCCATGGCCCTGTCGAGGAATACTTGGCGCACCCAAACTCTTCTCTGTCGCCTTCGCCGTCTTCGGGCGATTGAATACACGACTATAAGCTCATTTTGAGCGTGAATTTCTTCCAACTCGGCCAGCGCTCGCGTGTTGATGGGAGCCATATTGGACCGCTAGTGACGTCGATTCTACAGCGACAAATATGATTGGCCTATCGTAAAAATCGTAATGTACGTAGCTGTAAATGTGAACGAAGGTATCGGCATAACTGCGGTAACGCTTTTTATAGCCGTTGCGTTCGATACGCCGAACGAGCTGTTGCGCACGTTACGACCGTAGTGTGAACATAGCATTAGTCACTATGATAACCATGCAGCACCCTTAGTTGAAAAGTGGATTACGAGGCACTGTCCTCTGAATAGCACTTTTGCAGGCAATCTAGATGAAGGTATTTAGCGTGTGTACACACATGACGCGACAACTGCGAAAACGTCGAACACATTAGCATGCACAGACACACGCACGCTATGAATTCAAGAACCCCCCAAGGGGCACGACATACAGGCAGGACATATTGCACATGCGTGTGACACAAACACGGGTGAACTTTATTTGTCAATATGAGCTTCACGAACAGATGAGAATATAAAGAGCTACACATCAAACTTACACAAGAGCCGATGATGATGCACCGAAAAACACATGCGAGTGCGAGGGCGAACAATAATGAGAAGCACAAGTTGACTAGCACACCATCATACCTAGAAACAGGCCTCGCTCAGGGGTTCCATTCATAATGAACGTCACCGATTTGCTGCGGCAATGAACGTAAAAGTGGAGTACATAGTACACACTTGTATCCGTACATTTCAAACAAGAGAACGAGTGATTTCATTCATGGAAAAAAAAACATAACGAAATGAAACAAGAAACACATAACGATTTAATCGGAGTAAAATATTGAGCCCTGACTAGGTGCTGCATCGGAGGTGAACGGACATCACACGCTCTCGTACAGAATGGATTCGAGGAACTGTCATTCAAAGTTGTTGCTTTTTTTATGCCGAAATTAACATCTAAAGTGCTTTTTTTTTGTATGGCAAATAAGGAGAACATTAGGTTCACAAAGATGAAAAAAAGAAAAAAAAAGCGAAAAATAAACAACTTGGCGTCAAGCTAAACTTGACACGAAAGTGCTTCAGAAATCACAGGGTAACGACAGAAAAAGCCGGCCGAGGCTGTTGCAAATTATTTACTTCATTCAGTAATGTACGGGTTGACGTGCTATACTATGGCAACGTTACTAGAGCACTAACATAAAGAAAAAAAAACAAGCAAGAACTGCTACAGTGAAAACTGAGTGCTATACTTTGTCCGGCAATATGTTTTCTTCTGATAGCCGTAGAAGAACTATGTTGGTTTGGGTGGGGGGGGAGGGGCGAATCAGGAAATGAATTAAGTAGGTTGCATAACTTTAGCTAGGACACTTTTTATATCTACAATTCCAAAACTCGCAAGCTAATATTTTCCCTATACACAATAAAGTAAAGTGAAGAGCATAATGAAGAAGGAAACCTATTTCAACGACTACTGAATTTCATGCAGCCTACAAAATAAAATATGCAATGAACAAAACAATCATGACAACCCTCACACACCGAGGAATATGTTACGTTTCTAGAGTGTCTTTCTCATCTTTCTAATACTTTTTCCTTATACCCCAGTGTAGCCTAGCCAACCGGAAGTCTATCTGGTTAGCCTCCCGGCCTTCTACCTTTTTGGTTGCTTCATTCATTCATTCCAGGCGACTTAAAAGACGCTGTCTAATAACCTCTTTATGAACATTATCAAAGAGTTTTCTTCAGCAGTGACAAAAGCCCAAAGACGCACATGATATCATTGCTGGTGCTGTTATATAAACGAAATGAAGTGCCGCACTTTTAAAGCAAAAGAAGCCCAACATTTTTGAGTGTGCAGGTTATCAATTCCAGTGCTTTTTTAAGTTATCCTAATCTGACTGACACATAGCACGGTTCCTTGACAAGTGCCTCCGATGCTGGCTATCATGGCTAAAAATGGAATGATAGAGTTGCCATTTGTTGATTACAATGCGTGAGAAAAGAGGCCGTAGAGATCCACCTTGCTTGACAAAGGTACCTTAATTAATTTCTTTGGGATTGCCTCTCCTAGTTTGTGGTAGTGAACAATGAAAAAAAAGGAAAGAAAGAGAGACTGTCGTATACAGTGTACGAGAGTTAGGCCAGCAACGACTTGATGAAAAGAAGGGTCCTCTACTTACGCAAAAGCCCAGTACTTGCTGGCTGCAAAAACACGATCGAAATAAATGGAACACTTTGATCTAATTATCCTAAGAGCATATCCAGACATTGTATTTTAGGAACATACAAACGAGAAACAATATTGCAGGTCACATTGCTCGCACCACCTGAACATGCGTACAACCCACTATTCATGTGCACGATAAGCAGATCAACAGTTTGCTTTGTTATACCAAGATAACAGTCAGTTCTTGCTCTTTTCGATATAGGTCATTAAAAAGTGCACTGCTTATTCTTAGCTGCCATGACACATATAACTGAAGCATGGATGTTTTTTGTTCGGAATGACCAAAATATATCCGGGGCATTTCACGAGTCCGCACGTACGTGTGACTGTGTTACAACAATGTTAGGTGGCTTTGATGCCGACTTCGCTATAAAGAAGAAAATTAAAACATCATACTTTTATGATAAACGCACCCCGGAACACTTCGCTAAAGAATTTAATAATAAAATTTATGAGGAGTATGCGTAAAGTAGAAGTAACATGCTTTACGCACGTCTTTCAGTCGGATTTCATATTCATGCAGGCTAAAAATAACGGTGTATCACGACAATCGTGGAACTAAGGAGAAAACCTGATAGGAAAAAAATAAAACAGTTTTACAAAGGACCCAAGTGTGTCTACAAGAGTAACTTCAAATACAGATTTGTAAACTAACTTATCAGTGTTTTTGCAGCTTTATTGGGAAGCTAGTGTACCAATGTCTCAGATTCGTACTAGCCATATGAGGTCAACAGTATGGTGGCTTCCAATGGCTGCGTCTAACAAAAATTAAATGCACTAATCTGCTTCTTTCCTCTGCTCTTCTTGCCTTCTCGTTCCGAAAGAAGAAGTGCTAATGATTTAGATCATGCTGTGATTGCGCATTTCGCTCTCACTACCAACTTTTTTGGAATGCTTTATGCAGCTTGTCTTTTGAATTCAAAGTATCTGGGTCAAAGCACGTTTTGTGGTACCAAAAGCGAATGTTTACCAAAGAAAAATTAGAACCGCTTCTTTGACGTGCGTCACACTTCCGAGAGAAGAATATGACTGCTGTGCGCGCCAAAACACGAAATATGATTATACCTTAGTTGTACAGGCACTATCAATTAAACGGGCGGTTAAGAAGACGGAATGAGTAGAACACAACCCCTTCATTACTTATGGGACGTTGGCTCAGTAAATGTTGATTGACGCTATCTTAATTAAAGCAATTGTTGGCCGACGCAATCAACACAGCGTTGACGAAAAGTTGGCGCAAGTTTTGCACGAATCTCGCCTGACGCCTGGACTCAGTGGTGCATTACGTTAGATCACCGCGTCAAAATAACTCTTAATGTTTCGTTATTTTCTCGCATACAAAAAATACTCGCATTGAAAAAGTCTTCGACGAACAATTTGGTGGCACGTAACACCCTTTAGTGTTTTGGGAGTTGAAATAAGCAAGTTTAAGTCTCTCAGCGTCAGGTTGTGTGCACCATAAAGTTACTGCCCTTGTCCTGTTCTTAAAAACTGATGACAGTCACTAAAGATGTTGCACATAAGATTAGTGGCAGCGCTGGTCTCATTACAAACAGCAGCTGCCGTCAAAAAGCAAACAAACAAAAAATCTTTGTGAATCACATCAATTGTCTCAAGCGCACATTGCATGTTATTGTCTGATCTAGGTTAGCACCTGCTTTTTACATCTTATCAGCTTGTGAGCTATAACCAAAAAATGCTTGTGAACTAAACTCGGAGTTTTGCGGAACTTCATATTAACAACTGTTTTGAGACAATAGAGCCGTGCCCCTTTGCACGTCATTCAAAACTACCAAATGGTGTGTTCCACAACGACGTAAATGGATAATTATGGAAGATAGAAGTGGGGCTCAGTACCTAACACGGACTGGATGAGAGAAGAACAACACTTCTATCTCCCCACTTCTATCTTCAATAATGAACCGCTAACAAACTAGTCCAAATGGCTGTTCTGCTGCAACACAAATGGATTTTGAGTTCTTGCTATTGGTCTATCAGTCTCCACCTTCACAGTTAAGTAAATCATAATTTGGTCACAAACGGCACTGCAGATCCATGATCGTCGTGCGAGATTCGCGCAAAGCCTCGCGTGTAAGCAGCGTGTGCCGCGTGAAGCACGCCAGCAATTAACAATGCCGATCAGCGCGACAGGAACTGTTTGCCCTCGTGCAACGTGAGCTCGGCGTGGTGTCCGTCACGACGCGATGCTTCTGGCCCATCGGAACTTGACGACTGTGGGCTGGCCCTGTTGGTCCCCGCTGCCGAGCCGGGCTGTGCTGCGCAGCGGCCCGGTGTCGTCCTGATTCAGCCGCAGGTTGTACCTGAAGCGGGTTCCGGGCAACCACTGGAGGGGCGTCCAGGACGAAGCTTCAGAGTTGAACGACTGCGAGGGTTGTTCAGCATCGTTTGATGGGATGCCGTTGGAAGAGGACGAGGAGTGGGAGGTAGAGTTCGATGATAAGGAGATTGGGTACCAGGTGGTTTTGGTGGACGAGGTTCCGGAACCTGAGGGCCGCGACGACATCTGTGGGTGGGCATGAAAGCCACAAAAACAGTTAAAACTTTGCAGACAGCCGGAGAGAAATGCAGCATGCGCCAGCCACCACACCCAGAAATCGAAGTCTTACGTGTTTGTGTAGGCCGTCGTCCGCTGCGTGCGCAGAGAAAGCGTGCGTTTTCTGAATACGCCATCAATGCGAAAACAGAGCACAAGCAGCAATATTGACCTTGGTGATTTAGCCTACGGATAGTGCCAAGGTAATTCTAAAGAAGAATGATCTTGGGTCACTAGAACCACCGAGCTTTTAAGTTCAGAATCGAAGGGCATCTGTCTGCCTTTCAATTTGGCAACTATTTTTCAGGTATCAATATGGCATAATTGCGTCCACCTTTACAAATAGTGTAAGCTTTTTTTTCAGATGCAGTTGTGATCATTACGCCCTATTATAAGTGGCATATCAGGACATGAGAGAAAGCTATGCTATAGTATGTATATTTGGGTACGGAACACAGCGCCCCTATGACTTGACAGAGCTTCAGGGGGATATGGATGCTAAAAACAATGTGGACTTGTGGCACGACGAATGCAGAAGTGATTATCACTTCGTACGCATCCCTAATACATGCGTCTCGATAAATGATGCCATACATTTTTTCGATTGGTATATGCTTCTAAACACTACTTGATGCACCTTATCATGTCCTCGAAGTCAAGTCATGCTGCTTTTATATTGATATTCCTGACGTCTCAATTTCTAATAGTAGAGCCCTATACTTTCATTGCGACAACAAATATATGGACACTCCAGGCGCAAATTTGCCGTCAGCGCCGAAGTCACTGTGAGGTTCCTTATAATGTGAAAAAGCGATCATCACCCTCAGTGTCGCATGCTCTACGTGCGAGAATTGCAGGCGAGGGCAGCTGAAGATCGCAGCTCAAGCGTAGATGAAACACACCGTGGTTCATCGCGCTGAAGGGCCCTGATTTCTCTGGGGTCATTCTCCGTGGCTTGGGCGGTCACTGTCTAATTCCTTCGGCTGTGCATAGTGGGGTGTACACTAGCTTTACAAGGATTAGTAGATGATTGATATTGTGGACTATTGATATGATAAGCGACACACAACAAGAACTTCGCTTTGCTCGATGTAGCGGGCACATCTCCTCACGTTGGCGTTTTCTTGAGCTACACCAAGTCGAATTCGAAAGTAGTTCAATTCCAACATTCCTTCGTAAGCCATTTCTACTGGTTGTCATCGCATTTATTACTTCGCCCATGCCGCCACGTGTCGGTACTGTGACTTTTTCAGGCTACTAGGTACACTTACGCTCCATTACACATGATATTGCAGGTAATGTGTTCGTTATTGCAGTAAATCTCGCATGAAATTGCGTGATATGTCAGTAAATACGAAAGGATTTCAAATCGTGTTCTCCCAACGTTTTCAAGAGCCTATCATGGTGGTTTACAAAAATAGGTTCTTGAACACTGCCATATATATTGCAACCTTAAAACGAAAGCTTACTTGCCATTCTATACGCAGTGAAAAGCAGGAGAAGAAATTTTATGTTAAAGCTTGTCATCCAGAAAATTGTAGATGGTGTTTAACATAAAACAACATGCAATCACCTAATAGTTCTATTGACCAATAGTTTATCAAACACAAGTTACGGAAAATAGTTGGACAAAAACTCACTTTGGAGTTTTCGGACATTCACCGAACAGGTTTACTAAACAATAAGATAATTACGAAAATTATCATTTGTCATTACCTGACGAAAGATGTTTCATACCTTCAAGCCTACGTTTTCCCATGAACTTTTATTAACTCCGAATTACATTTATGAGCAGTAGTACACCGAATACATGAAATGCATATAGTATGCCTGTAATGACGAAAAACTGCAACTTACCGATCCTTTCAGGATGCTTCCCGTGTTTACGACGCTCCTGAATATTGCTTCTCTCGTCTTTTTGCTCATGAAGACGTGGCAAACGAAGATTCCCAATCCCTGTTGAAAGAATTGTTACCGTGTATGTTTTGCCTCTCATCGATAAAGAAGCAGTGAGAAAAATATTGATTAAACAACGCAAGAAAGGTCAGGTGGCATAACAGCGACCTCGGCAACCTTTGCAGTACTATAGATTCATTGAGCTTTCACATATTTAAACTAAAGATATGATTCTTGTGATTAACGGCGCTTACCCAGGCTGCGATAATCGACAGTGGAGCCATTTAAGCTGGAAACTGCTGCGCATGGTGTAGGCAAAAACATGATCGAGCTATGACGTCAATATGCGTCCCTTAGCAACAATGCGGAGCATCTGTGCCTAGCTTCACAATGCTCGCCGAGTTATGCCTACACACGGAAAGACAATAAAGGGGCATAGTATATCAAAGGAGTGAAAAATGGAAGTGAGAGTCAGGAGTGACGAATGATGTTAGGGTGATGACGAAGGAAATGAGGAGTGCTTAAGGTAAAGCGTAGCATAGCCTTGTACAGTACAGCGTATAGCAAGAAAGGGAGTCAGGGTGAGGAGGAGTGCTATGAAGGTGATTACGTGGGAAAGAAAGAGGAGAGAGAGTGAGGCATATAATAGCCTTGTACATAATAGTATTGCAAGGGGAAGGGAAATGCCAGTGAGATGAAGAGCGACGCGAAGGTGATATGGAGGGATGGGGTAAGGCATAGCATAGCCCCGTATAGCATGGTATAGCAGGGGGACCGGAAATCAAAGCGAGGGTGAGAGAGAGAGGAGGACAGGAGAAACCATAAGACAGCATAGTCTCGTGTAGTTCAGTTGAGCAAGGGGGCTGGAAAGGGAACTGATGAGGAGGGAAACTATAAGGTGACAGGGTGAAACATGGCATAGCCATGTATAGTCAGTTTCAAGGAAGCGATAACAGCTCTAAACGTTCTAGCCCCTCCCGCCCCCCCCCCCCCCCCCCGAAAAAAAAACTTTTGGTCACATAATTTATCAATTCTAAGACACAAGTGCAAAGCATGTGTTGTGTCCCAGTAAGGAAAGCCTATTTTCCATTTTTCAGAAATCTGCAGGCTGCTATCTAAGGCTTTTCTTCCTAGAAGAACTGCCACTGCCACTAGAGGCTACTTTTCACCAAACTGGCAAATTTGAGAGGCCCTTGGCGACTTAGAATTATGATTTGCGACATGGTGATTTTCTGGCGATTTTCAGCTTAGGTCTCGACTGGGTTATGCATTCTATACTAAGTATCTTCATAATGAATAGGGGACAAGATTTTCTCAATTTTTCTGTAGTTTTAAACATACCAGTCGAAGGCGCACTCTACACGCAATAAAGTACGTCTGTCTTGTTTCTCGTGTTTATCTCTCGATATCCGCAAGATCCTGGCGGCAGGGCTCATTGGAGCGTCTGCGAATAACCTCCAAGCGAAATTTATGTCAGCCGACTGCATTGCGTGTGGCGAGGCGGGGGTGTTAAGTAAGTTTTTAGGTGCTTTAAGAGCTTTAGGCTTCTTTAAAGTTTTGCTTTTTAAAATGGCTGCAGCTGACGATTACAGCTGACGGGAAATGGCTGCAGCTGAAGTGCTGTAGCTGACGGGAAATTGCTGCAGCTGACTACAGCTCCAACTCTTCTGAAGAGCTTGTCGACTTCTTCGCTGCTGTAGAACCCCCTAACTTGGCATGTAGTTTAAATTTGTTATTACCCTACTTTTAGTGCCAACCAAGAAAGTGGCTTCTTTGGGCAGCCTTAAAAAAACTAGGTGATTGTAAATCGTAAGCATGACTGCGTAGAAAGTGTAATGCAGGCATTGCGACAGTTACGCAGAATTTTCATACTCATTTATGTTGTTTTGTAATTGAGTTGTTCGATTATCGGTTACTTTATTGCAGTGCAATCAAGTAACCGATAATCAAGTAACTCTGAATACCCAGGAAGGCAACACACACTGCCCCTCTCTTGCCTTAGCGACTGCTTCGCCCTGTATTTGCTACAACTGACACCATCATAAGCTTTTGTAACGTGCTAGCGTTCAGGGACGCTGCCGTTGCTCGGCCAATCAATTTTTAGGCGAACACTCACGTACGTACGGACGCCCTCGCCCCACTCATTATCTTTCAATCCGTGGATTCTCTGATAATGTTTCTTCAAGCCATATACAGATTTCACTGTGAAACCACTGCACAGCCCTTCACAGTCCACCCCGTAAATATCGGCACTGGATTTTGACCTGCAAGGTAGTGCCGGTGCTAATTAAAGACGATAGTCTTTCTTAGGGACCTTCAACGCAAAAAATTGGGTCTAACTGTCTGTACGTTTGTCTGTTTGTCCACCCTTAACATTATCGGTTACTCTAAACGGCACCAGCGGATACCCCAAACGGCCGACCCTATCCGCAGCGCCCACCAGTGCTGCTCAAAATTAAGCGTTCATACTTGCGCAATTTTTTATTAAAAAGCAATTATTGCGCGTGTCTGGGGCACCATAACAACACGTATATATTCTGCATGTGCGCCTTTTACTAGAAAAGGCATACATAAGTGATTTTAAGGACCCTAGCGCTTATCACGCTGCGCTGACCATTGTTGGGACTCCGGGTCCTGCCGGTCTCGTTGTCGGTAGCTGGCCCCGTCGCAGGATCCATCGTCCAACAATTCAGCGAGAAGAAGCACCCGAACGAACAACAGAGATTTATTTACATGTGGAGAAGTGGTCAACTGACCCAAAGAGAGAAGAGTGAGTGTGATACAAAACGACTTCGGCATTTTATAGCGCCGCGCCGTTGACACTGGGCGCCCCGTCCGCATCGTCAGCCAATACGGTGTCTCCGGCACCTCGGCCACGAGAGAGGGGGAAACACACCTCACAACACATGGAGTGGCCCAACCTAACACCAGGTCCATATATGGTCACGGCGCCCTAAAATGTTACCAAACATGGTCACGAACGCACAGCAGACCCCGGAGCTCTCCCGGCGAGGAGGAACCCGAATGGGGAGGTGGGGGTGGCCGCCACCGTCGGTCAAGAACCGGTTCTCCCCCAAACTCTTCCTGCTTGGCTCCCCAGGGCCGGTCGTAACAGTCTCTCGCGCGGGGGGGGGGGGGGGGGTGAAGATCTCGATGGGCTGAGGTTTGCAGCCACTGTCCGGAGAGATCAGCGCCGGCAGTCGGTTTGGTGACGACCGTCTTTGATGAAGTAGAGGGCAACACCTGCTTCATTGAGGGCTCAACAGACATCACATACGCACATGAAAACACAACTACTCAGCCGGTGAGCGCCGGACAATTCCGCCAAACTCCACCAGGCAATTTTCCCCTTTAACTGATATTAAAGGAAATACACAATTTATTCAAAATGTTACTCACACTTTAAGGTGACACAAAACAACAACACTGGAAGCACACCGAACCCGAAACCCTGGATAGCCGTGTCTTCAACGTTTTCAAACAAGTACACCTAAAAGAGTAAAAAACAATCACTAGCTCTTGTCTAGGTCAGGAAAAAAAATGCCAGAGTTCTCGAGACATCCTCTCGCGTCAGGGGCATCGACTTAAGCCATCAGCGTTGCCATGGAGTACACCCTTTTTGTAGCGTATTTCAAACGTATATTGTTGCAAAACGAGGCTCCAACGCAGCAGGCGGCCGTTCTTAGAGGACATGGTCTGTAGCCAGGTGAGAGGACAGTGGTCCACTTCCACAATGAACTTGCTTCCGGCAATATAACAAGCCAGTTTCTGGACTGCCCAAACCAAGCACGCACATTCCTTTTCGCTAGCGCTGTAAACCTGCTCGCGAAGGGTGAGTTTCCGGCTAACATATAGGACGGGATGCTCTTGATCCCCCTCATCCCTTTGACTAAGAACTGCCCCCATGCCTCTATCACTAGCGTCGCATTGGACTATGAAAGGCCTCGAGTAGTCCGGTGAACTAAGCAAAGGTTGGCTCGACAAGGCCGCTTTCAAAACGCCGAAAGCCTTTTCTTTCTCCTCATCCCAGTCGACCATTTGGGGCTCGGTCTTGCGCAACGCGTCAGTAAGAGTGCTGGCAATGTCGGAATATCTAGGGATGTACTTACGATAGTAACCAGCTATTCCAAGAAAAGCCCGAATATCGGTTTTCGTTCGGGGCTGGGGAAAATCTCGGATAGCTGCCACTTTCATTTCAGAGGGACGGCGATGCCCTCGACCGATAACATGCCCGAGATAGAGTACCTCTGCTTGTGCTAGCTGACACTTGGGCGCCTTTACCGTTAAACCTGCTTCGCTTCATTGTCAGCTGTGACTTTGACACTAAATCCTCAACTCTTTTCTCGATCGGGACTTCGTCCGCTTCTGGAGCTAATTCAGGAATTTCTGCCGGAACCTCTTCCGGAACATTTAAAGTCATGTTCACGATGGCTTCCCTCTCTTTATAGGGTTTGAGTAAGTTGCTATGATACACCTGGTGTACCTCACGACTTCCTGGTAATATTACCACATAGTTGGTGTCAGACAATTTTTGAGTAATTTCGGCCGGGCCGATCCATTGCACTTCAAGCTTATTCTTTTGGGAGGGCCTCAACAACATGACCCTGTCTCCTACAGCAAAGTGTCGTGCTTTAGCTGTCCGATCGTAGTAAAGCTTAGCCTTCTGCTGTGCTTTGGTCATCGCACTCTCCGTCAGTTCTTGGGCTTTTGTTAGACGATCCAATAAGGTGAGGACATATTCCACTACTACAGGATCATCACCCTGACCTTCCCACGACTCTCTCAGCATACGAAGAGGAGACCGCAGTCTGCGGCCGTAAACAAGTTCCGCTGGCGTAAACCCTGTTGTCTCATGTGGTGCAGTTCTTAGTGCAAACATCGTTGCAGGTAACCACATTTCCCAGTCAGTTTTTCGTTCAAAACATAAGGCTCTTAACACTCGCTTCATCACGGAGTGAAGCTTTTCTATCGAGTTAGACTGCGGATGGTAGACGGAACTATGCAATAATTTCACGCCACACCGCTCTAGAAAGGTTGTCGTTAAGGCACTCGTGAAAATG